CAGGAGGGGAGTATCAAAAGGCGTCCCGCATCATATCCAATGCCGACCTAGTGCTGGTAGCTGGGTGTTTGCGCGATGTTACGGTGGGTATGAGACTCCTCTACGCACATCATATCTGATCTGTTTGTATAGATCTTCTCGCATGACATTATTCGGTTGAAAGAACGACATGGCCAAGTCGCTGTCTTCGCGGATGGCGCAGGCGCGAACATCGAGCAATTGCAGTCCGACTACGTTCTCACTGATCCACTGTCCGTCACGTTTCCTCAAGTGTTTGCAATAAACCCAAGGAGCTGCTGGTTCAATGACGGTACCTTGAGGACGTTCTACCCTGGCCTCACCGTTATCGCGAGCCCAGACGGTGGATCATCGGCATCATATGCTGATGAGATGAACACGGTCCCGAGGCATTCGAGAGCCTTTGCCGTTGACTGTGGCCCATTCGTGAGTCCCAATTGCGCCTCGTCGCTGAAATGTTGCCATCAGACTGACGACGAAGGCTCTAGATTCCCCGTCCGGCTCTGTCTCGGGCGGAGATAATGGCTATGCCCGAAGGAGAGATAGCTCGTCTCTGCAAGACTTCTCCAAATCTCACTGACACTCCCGCCCACCGCTTGATGCCCGTTCGCCCTGTATACGTCCTTGCCGCGAACGTGGTGGTCAAATTAGGCGTGTTTGGCACTCGCGACGCACCAGAAGCTGCGGCAATGACCGTCGTGCGACAGCAGACGAGCATCCCCGTCCCGGAAGTATACCGCTTCTTCGAGCACGAGTCAAATTCATACCTCGTCATGGAGTACGTCCAGGGGGAGTCACTGGACCACTGCTGGGACGATCTCTCTTACTGGGAGAGGGTCCGAGTCTCAGTTGTCCTGCGCAACTATGTCGCGCAGATGCGTCGGATCCGCACCCCACAGATTGAGAGACAGATACCTGGGCCCATCGTCGACGACCTCTCTTGTCCACGCCAGTGCGAGACACCGTCTCTGGGCGAAGACCGAGCAGGACCATTTCCCTCATACGCCCATTTGCGCGACTGGATGGACGGAAGACTCCGTGTCAGCCAGCAGATGTCGAGATTCCGATACACCGGCCGCACGTTCGACGACTCGGAGCCGCTCGTCTTTACCCACGGCGACCTCTTCTTGCGGAACATGATCCTCGGGGACGACGGACGCCTCTGGTTGATCGACTTCGGCTGCGCAGGCGTGTACCCCCGATGGTTCGAGGGGTACAGCATGAAGGAGAGGACCCTGCTTTGGCCGCAGCCAAAGCTGTGGACGTGGACTCGCAAATTCGCTACGGGACAGTACGACGAGCAGGAGCATTATCTCGATGCTTGTCAGTACGCCATGTCTATCGGCTCTTTGTGGCCAGACCCTGGCCCGGAGGAGCTTGAACGGTTCCTGGCAAGCCGCTCCGTCTGACGAATGAGGAGCTCGTAGTCTATGTGGTGTACGTCTCTGCTCCCAGTACTTGTCGCCGCCTGTCTTTGACGAGTGTGTTTTTCGAATACATGTCCTATTTCATCTCAGCGATATCATGCGCGACTTCAGTACTCTATTCGGCGTGTTTCGAGTCACCTCCTCCGAGTCGCGCTCGCTACCCGTGTGTGTTTACTGACCAATCCGAGGTTGGGAACGTCACGTCTCGCTAAAATTTGCCGTCAACACTTCGGTAGCGTTCACGAAACAATTCAACGTCAGCATTCAGCCTCGAAGTTGCGCTGACATGTCTGCTCTCGACCCAGAGGTGCCCGCTGTCTACAGTAAGTACTACCGTTATTGCATTGCTGGGGAACAATATGGGAAGGGTGAAACTCCGCATCGGCCAGCTGCCAAAACAGAACTATTTAATGTGGGACCGACGGTCGATGACTCAGAGCTGCTCGTCTTGAGTGTTGCGGCACACGCCTCTTTGCACACACAACACTCTGGTTTTACATCGGACGCAAATTCTGCTTGTTACATGCTCTATGGTCATCTCGGTCTGTGGCGAACAGCAACGATCGAACGGACTATAGGCGACGGTGAACGCCGCCCAGACACTGTCTGCGGCCTCCGGATCCTGCTCACGAACGCAACTTCGTCTCCCTATGATGGCCGACTCGGCTCACCTCACCCCACTCCTCCTCGATCGAACGCTTGAGAAGCGTATCAAACCAGAGAGCCGTACGTGTAGTCCACCTCCGACCCGATCCAATCCAGTGCGGACCTCCAATAGTCCCGCAGCGTGGAGCGGGCCATGGCGGGTGCGGCGCAGTTCTTCCGGCGGGAACAATCTCCAGAACTTGATGTCCCTCCGAATCCGGCGGTTGAGCCGCTCGAAGGAGCCTCGGCCACGCGTGCATCACTGGCAGGAAGGGGCGCATCGCGAGTGGAGATGGTGGCATGGTCCGCCGGAACGGCATCGAACCCCTCCAAGTTGAGCATGATGACGATAGGCGAGGGCGCGAACTCAAAGGCATATCTCGGGCGTTGTGCGTCGACCACAGAGAGAACGCTGTGCACGTGCACTGTACGATGGAGATGGGTGAATTGTATGCATTGTCTCGTGTACGGCTGCAGCGGATCGGCGACAAGGTGTCTTCTCGTGCAGCGGCCTGGCTGCTCAAACCATGTGAAACTAGGTCCCAATGAAGTAGGCACCTCGTTGGGACCCTGTGCGATGAACTGATCAACCTGGCTCGAGCTGTCCGAGGATGGCTTTCCGGCTACGAAGCAGCCTCTTTCAGTGCGAACATCTACCCACCAGTCTTGCGGCTGTAGACCCGGATTGATTCGCATTGCGGGACAGAGACATCCTACCCCAAATTCAACGATGAGTGTCTCTTTGCGGGCGACGTTGAGGAATCGCACATCGAAGATGACGACGGAGCGGTGACTTGAGTATGGAAGGCTAGAATCTAGGGGTAACAAGGATCCAGAGGCTTCGGTGATGTGATAACCGTCATGCAAGATCGGGCCTGACCATTGTATGCTGAACCCGTACCCGTGGTGCAAGCGACGGACGACCCAGTGTGGAATTAGGAATCTGTATGAAGAAGGAGGAGGTATCTTTGGCCTTCTCCACGCGAGCTTTCCGTGGTTCTGACTTGCACCGATGTACACCTCCGTGATCACGAAATCACGAGAATACGATGGAGAGGCAAGCAGAGCTCCACGGTAGAAGGGTAGGCCTCCGGGCTCTGCACTCTTCGTTCCGACGCGCCGACACCAAGGAACTGGACCTCCATCGGAAGGGTCCAATATGAGGAACAGCACGATGTACGCATTGTGTCGCATGCAACAGAGAGCAGCGGCATAAACGCGTTCCTTCTCACTATGCCGGAAAGGAGTACGTGCGTAGTCGGTAGAGAGCGGCAAGGTGATGAGGATACCGTTGCTGGTTAATGTGTAGTTCCAATCAGGCCGGTGGCCGAAATGATAGGTATATGCGCCCATGTAGACGGGGAAGATATACCCAGACAGCTCGAAATCATTGGGAGACGAAGCCAGGAGGGCATGACAGGGTTGCTGGCTGCGTACCTTCCCGATACGCAAAGCTTGCTCGCGTGAGTAACGTCTTATCGAGGCCTGATCCGGGCACTCTACGCAACATTGAAATCGGGATGAATAGATCCCCACGCGAAGATACTATGATCTTGCGTATGCCTGAGGATCTCGATCTGGAGCCGGGTAAAGGAGTACAAACCCTCGCCATAGACAATCGGCATAGAGACACCGAATATACCCAGAAGAGAATATGCGCGGTCCTCTATGCGGCTGGTCCGGCGAGATGCTGTCCACGACATGCGCCTTGCGACACTAATTTTCGTCAAACGTCCCCCGAACGTCTGCGCCAGAACGCGCTCGTCAATCCCTGTGACCTCCGCAACAGTGGCTATCAGGGAGAATTTGGTACCGATGACCGTCCACCGATGGGAAAGGAAGACGACAAGATGCGGCGCGATGAGCTCCTGCAACGTCCATCCCCGAGTGTACCACTTGCTCCGCCGGAATTCGGAGCCAGGCGCGCGTGGATCGTCATCGTCGCCGACGTCGCCGAGGTACGCGTAGCACACAGCTGCGTCCCGGTACCACGCCCACATGGAGTTGATAGCCTCGGAGAGCTCCGCGCTGCTCGTCTTGTCGATGCAGCCAGTGTCCAGCCAGACCCATTCGTATCCGTCGTGTTCCGCCACGATGCAGAACCGGCGCACCTTCTCCGTGGCGAGCGAGCGCGGGTCCTCGCCCGAGAGAACGCAGCGCGCGTGGATCGCGCGGATGTCCTGGAAGGACTGCGCGTGATCGGCGTCTTCCCAGACGTGGGAGAGGATCGCATAGCGAGGGCCTGTGTCTGTGTCCTCGGGCATCGCGACGGGCGTCGTGAAGTGCCTGAGCTCCAGGGTCTTCGTGTGCAGCAGCCACATGCTTGTTCCTGTCCTTGGAGTGGCCGAAGTGGTCCCAGTGTTTAGGAACGTCCAGCGAGCGATGGGCGTCGAATGACTTGCCAGGAGGCTTCAAGATCAGTTTTATATCAGCAACTGAGCCACGGTGCAGACTTACGAGGCGGTGATTCGAACAGGTACTAGTCACTGATCGTTCTGGTGTGAGTGTTCCGCTGAACACAACCTGCCACACCGAGACATCCGTAAGTCGCTACGATCGACTGATAGTTCAAGCCAACGGCGTACCGTAAACTGTACTCACAGCACTCTGGACTGGAATTCTGCACTGGGCACCAGCTGGCAATCCGTGGTGGTGGTATCGATGGATAACGTTGACTGTTCCAGGCGCGCGCGCAACCGTGTCCGACACTCGTACTCACAGTGACACTGCGCCCGCTATTGCCTCCGTCGCCCCTTGTCCCCTCCTGCGCATGCTATAGTGCATAGCAAGTAAACGCCAGATAGCGTCCATACTGTCAACACCAAGTCGTTGCCACCAGTTTATGACCGTGATTGCTTCAGCCAACCTGAGGTTGTAAGCAAAAACAAAACTCACGATCTACCCTAAGTATAGCAACTCCTGGTTTCGATCCAGGGACTTCAGGGTGACATATCAGTATGAGCCCTGCACGCTTCCACTGCGTCAAGTTGCTGTATCTGTCAATTCCAAAAGCAATTATATGATGTCAACGTTCCAGATGGAACAGTGGAAGGCATTGATTCGCGTTCGGTCTGATCATCCCACAGGGTACTTATGGGGTCTGTGAATTCTTCTACTTCACTTTAAGTACTCGTACAAAGTGCAGCGACGATAGTCTACTTCCTGGTTGGTGGTACATACAACATCACAGACGAATGAGCAGTGTAGTGGTGGGGGTATTGGTACAACGCAAGGTACTCAGTCCGTGGGGGCGCCCGCTATTTTACACGACACTCGTATGTCGTGCGTGTCGCATCCGCGCATGGAGGGGTTTACTCCTTCATGTTGAGGACGACACGGCCGACGATCTTGCCCTCCGCGAGGCCCTCGTAAGTCCTGTGTGCGCGGGACAGTCAGCATCCAGACGTGCGGAGGGTACAATGAAACACGTACTCGGAAAGGGCAGAAAGAGGCTTCGTGACATAGTAGCACTTGACCTTCCCGCGCGACGCGATGTCGAGTGCCTCGCGCGCGTCCTGGCGGTTGCCGACGTACGAGCCGATGATGTTGATGCTCTTCACGACGGTGAAGAAGATGTCCGCGCTGAGGTTCGCGCGCGCGGGGAGGCCGACGACCATGAGCGTGCCGCCCATGCGGAGGTAGTCGATCGCCTGCGCGTACGCCGCGCCGTTGGCGGCGGTGACGACGGCGGCGTGCGCCCCGAAGCCGTCCGTCGCCTCCTTGATGTCCTTCACGAGGTCCTTCGTCTCGCGGAAGTCGACCCACTTCTCCGCGCCGAGCTTCATCACGAGCTCCTTCTTCTCGGCACCCGTGTCTGTGAGATTGAGATGATAGTGAGTGGATTGCGCGCTGGGGAACTGATGTAGGGGCACTGACCAACTGCGACTACGCGGAGACCCATCGCGGCGGCGTACTGGACGGCAAGATGGCCAAGTCCTCCACCAGCACCGGGGAGAACGATCCAGTCGCCGATCTTCGCCTTGGAATACTTAATAGCTCGGTATACGGTGATACCCTATGGAAGACCAGGTCAGCGATGTGTCTGATGAGTGCGTCATGCGAAATACTCACAGCGCAAAGGATGGAGGCAGCCTCGGCCGACGAGAGGTTATCGGGGATGGGGGTCACATGTGTCACCCACGAGACGACGTATTGGGAGAAGGTGCCATCGACTGTGAAACCGGAGTACTGGCCGTTGATGCAGCCTGGTAGGATGTGACGTCAGAGACAGACGCGTGTGGGAAAAGAGGTGAGACTTACTCTGCTCAAGGCCTTTCCGGCACGGCTCGCAGTCCAAGCACGAGTACGCGAGCCACTTGATGCCGACGCGGTCGCCGACCTTGACGGGGGAGCTCTGCGTGTGCTCGCCGATGGCAACGATGCGGCCAACGCCCTGCGCGAAGTCACGATTGAGAAGATGCGAGGGGCGAAGGCAAGGTAAACTCACCTCATGGCCGCCAATCAGGGGCAGCTTCGCGGGTAGTGGCCAGTCGTTGTTACGGGCGTGGAGGTCGGTATGGCAGACACCGGAGCAGTCGAGCTCGACGAGACACTCGCCGGGTGCGAGCTCGGAGGGTTGCTTGACGGGGTGGTTGTCGACGATCTTCAGGGGCGCGTCGGTCTTCTCGACGATGGCCGCCTTCTGGGTCTTGGGGATGGTGAACTGGGGCGCCATTGTAGAGAGGAGTCTGGTTGTGGTGGTGAGGGAGGAGGAGCGGCGAGCGATGGGCTTATATAGGGCGCGGCGAGCAAAAGTGATCCGAGACGCAGAGCGAATCTGAGCAGCGAGGCTTCTGTGACAGGCTGACATGGCTCACGACGATCCACGAGCGCACGCTTTAAGGTCAGGAAGCACGCCGAAAGCGGCATGGCGGAGGCGAGGGGGCGGAATCATGCGACTAGCCAATCCAGCACAGACCCTGGCACCTCCTGGCACCTCCTGGCACATGGACGCGAAGGCCCGCGGTGGGACGAAGGCCTTCGGAAACGGTCCTGCCTCGACCAGCCTCGGTCGCGTACAAGCCACTGCGCAATCGCGCTGAGGGCCATGGGACTAGATAGTGGCGTAGTATGCGAAGGCTGGATGGCCCATATCGCACCTAGAATCGGCAACGGTCTAGGTTGCGTCCATGACCCAGCCCGGCGCTCCTCCTTGCTCGCTGTCCATCGCAGTCTGGCCAGCCATGTATATTGCAATCACGGGTAGAGCTTTCACGAGAACGGAGCTCGCAGCGATCTCTGTCGATGTCGGAGAGGGAAGGAGCAGGAAGGGGGAGAAGCGGACGCGGAGGCAGGCGGCACTCGAAGGGCTGTGCAAACTCTCGGAGGTAACCGCTCAGTACGGGCGCTCCGCTTACTTCGAAGCTTCTAACCGTCACCGTGTGTAGTCCGTCTCAATGTTTATGAGGCACTTGACTTATAGGCGTAGCGGCGCCTCGGAAATTAATTGAAATTAATTAAATTAATTCACGGCCGCAGGCCGTGCAGGCTCTCTATGGCTCCCCTCAACAGATCCGTGACACCTCGGGTACGTTGAAGGCCATTATCTGCGTCTTTCTGAGGTCTTTGAGAGGTTGACCGATTTTTCTTTCCGGCGCTGACGCGC